TTTAGAAACGATGTGCATTAGACAGACTAGTAAAAACAAAATTTTATCAAGACAAAGAAGAAAGAGAGAAACTGAGAAGTGAACTGTTTAAGATATTGGAAAAATCAACTGGTGAATTTTATAACAGTAATCACATTCTGATATGGATGAGAAAATAGACAACTGAAATGGGAAGCTCAGTATTTTGACATTATTAAAAGCGACAGATACTGCCATCAGTTTGTAGTCTGAGGTAGATCTAACATATCAGTTGAGTCTGGTCATTTTGATTCAGTTCAGTAAACACATTTATTTTCCTTCACGTTCCCCAGTGGAACATAAGGCTTCAAGCTAGTGGCTTTGAATTTCTGTAGGAATGTTTATTTTACAGGATAGGGTTGCTGGCCTCACGCCCAACCTTTCCTCTTCACCAGAATTATTTCTGGCTTAGCGAGATAAAGGAGTACATCGGCCGGGTATCGAACCCCGGACCATGTGCATGGTCGGCGAGCGTCCTAACCGCTATGCCACCAACGCACACTAATAAACACATAAATGAAATTAATTCAGAGATCTCTGATGAAACATCTACTAAAGTATGAAGATCCAAGTTGATTATCATTAGTAGCTCATCTTCTTGTTCTGTAAACTCAGTTTACTTTTACAATCCACTGAACACTACGGTAAAAAGCTGAATCTATCACCTTGAAGGAATACTGCACTAAAAAATATAGATTAAAACTTCAGATTAACTGGTGGTCTTTAATTTTTACTGAGCATTCAGAATCACCATAAGTTCACTCGGAGACGTGTGGTTGAAGCCCTATATTCCTATAGGAACTAAAAGAAACAACACAGCAACACCAACCACACTGCATATTCGCTAGTTCAGTCAAACGTCGCAGATCCCACTAGATTTTTTATCCAAACATCCTGTCTATTATTGTTATTTCTACGTTTCCAACCCCTAATTGCACAATATGTCGATCTTCTCAGTGATAATGATGCTACTTTGTTTCAGTTTTATCCGTCCCCCTATGTATAATGGCATTTTAATCCTTAATTGTAATTTTATTAATTTGACCTTTGACCGGAAATTATTCTGGAACTTTCCCACCCACTAATCATGAATACACGAATGTGCAGCCTGGTTTGAATTTAGTTTCATTATTTAAAGTAGGATGACTACTGTATGGCTGACAACCTTATTCAAGTAAAAGTTACCAAAGAGATGATACTCATTCTGGCCATTCGAAAACCATTACCGTGCGCTCATACAAATGAGGTAATCATTTATTCAAACGGAATTCCTCTCTAGAATTATTAATATCCTTGAAGTGTTTTAAGTTCTTGATTATCATGAATATGACAGTCGCATAAAACGTCGTATAGTACGACAAAAGAGTTATTAATTATCCCAAGAAACGAATTGTTATTGCTTGGTAATAAAGCAGAATTTGAAATATACGTTTTTAATAATTTCTCTTTCGTAATAGGATCGTTTCTTCGACTCGAATTCCGGTAAATCGGAAGTCAGTTTAGTCGAACTATTTTACTTTGCATAATCCGCTTAAATACTAGAGCTACATAACAGAGAATAGTTCATTTTTGTAGGCTTCGTGAAGAAATACATCACAAAATTCAAGTCACTGAAACAAATCATGAATTTTTTATACACTTTTTTATAATATCCTATGCAGTAAAAATAACCTGAAATACATCCAGAATGTGAAATATTCTCCTGATGAATACATTGAACTATATCCTTTAGGCAGTTGAATGGTCGGATCAAATATTCCTGAATGAATCAGTCATAGGTATTATCACTAAAAGGTATTATCATGAAGTATACACTGATGCTCTACCAGTGAGCTATGTGCTGAGTCGCACTGAACATCTCGAATGAAACTGAATTAACACTGTGGATATGACAAGAGCCAAGCTAAAGTTCTATCCATTCACTAAAACAAATCATCTCATAACGTTAAAAAGGCAACTAAGAAGCCATTACAAAAGTAACTTTCAAACAGAAAATGTAATAAATCAAGCGCATATTGATACGAGTTATTTATAGCTGATTTTTAAATTGCTGAAATGGTTACTTAAGTAATTATTGACATATGGGCTAAAGCAGAGTCAACTATATTAATAATAACATTTATCAGCTTTCATTGACCTAATGGGTAGAATGAAAAGTAACACTTGACCTTATGGTTGACATGCAGTCCATTAAAAACTGAAATTCACTGTGATCATTAATCATAAACATGAAACTCTTGACATTGTCATTTATGTAACCATGTTTATGCGCTGTGTTTAAAATTGAAATGACACCTAAATGTATAGGAACTTAGAAAGAGGGAATTTTTAAAAAAGTGATTAATTACACTTTGTTGACCTGTATCTGTGTACAGCACACGTCTCTGTTGACTATAAGAATATGTTTAAAGGGTATTCATTCATTCATTCAACTCACATTTTCATCAAATAATAATGATGATAATATGCTGAAAGCCTTGTAATTAATTAATTAATTAATCAAATTGTCAGCGCCATAATTCAATTTACCCCATGAATGCAACATTATGTTGGAAGAAAGGCGATTGACTGACTGTCTTTTCTGTGCAAATTATATTCATTGTGCATATAAAGCACATTCGATAGTAGTGACTTTACTGATTGACTTTATTGAATATTTCTACCATTGGGATATCACAATCTCTGCAAGGCAAAAATAATGTGAACAGCAACACTAAACACTGTTGACTGTCAAACCGTTGCAATTTTATAGACAGCCAGAAATAAATAAATAAATAAGTAAGAATACACATTTCGCTGAGGTGTTAGTATGTTTTCCACTTCAAATATATGAGGTGTTTTATTGGTCGCACCCCAAAGACCGTTCATCCAACTAGCTACCTCATCTCATTTTAGTCAAGGTTTATTTCATTTCACTTAGATTCTTCCAAGCTCCCTTAAGATAATATGTAGAATATCACTGAATCAACCGACCTGAATGTTATGAGTCTTGCAGTAATCCTCCATCTCAACACCTATTTCTGGGGTTATAAATACTTTCCACTACTTCATATACTAAAATCAACTAATGAGATAATAAAACAATCCGTTGAATAACGAGAGGTGAGTACTTCGATTTCTGACTTGAACGACAATCGGAAATGTGTTAATTGACAGTTGGGTGTATTTTTTCTGCTTTCTCCTCATCTGTGATGTCTTCTGTTGTAAAATTCATTTTTCAGTGTTCATGTCTTACACATAGCTCAAATGTCTGTAAGAAATCTCACATATGCCAGATAGTCATGAGAAATATTCGAAATTGAGAGGAACAGAAGATAATGATAAAAAAACATGACTCATACACAATTCATTTGTGTTTGATATTGATTGCCAACGATAATATTAACTGTTAATGATAGGTTAAGCACAAAATGAACACGGAGTGAAGGCAAGAAGTGTTCAGTATCGAATGTTACTGAAAAAATGTTAAACCTTACGTTTGGATTGGTACTTCCAGATAATATCACCATTCTGTCTCAGGCATGTTCTGTTCGAATAAAGCAAAAACAATAGTGGTTTGTGCAGAATAATATGGTAACATCATTTATTTCGCTGGTTTCTCATCAGCTGCCTACAGCCTGAATAAGTTATGAGGTTTAAGCACAGAAAAGTTTTAACATACTTGCAAATTTTACATGATGCTAATTACATGTTACTAATTGTGGAACTTTCTGTCAACTGACAACATGTAAAATTTGCAAGTATGTTAAAACTTTTCTGTACTTAAACCTCATAATTTATTAAGACTGTAAGCAGCTGATGAGAAGCCAAGCAAAATACTGATGGTACCATATTATTCTGCACAAGCCACTGTTGTTTTTGCTTCATTCAATTTCATCAAGGGAAATAAATTCATGTTCTGTTCCTTATTGTATGTTGTTCAATAGGTTTTACTTAGAGCTGTAACTTTCTTCTCGAATTTATTTTTCATTGAGTTTTCTACTGACACAAATTATCACTGCTCCTACAATGTTACCAGATACACTAATTATTTTCATTTATAATCAGTTTTCATTACATTACCAGTGAATTGCAAATTCTTTATATGAAACTGATGAACTAAACAAAACTGGATGGACGTCGTGAAGTTGTGGTGAAAAGTCATGACCAGTTGGGTTCATCATGCCAAGTGGGTGCGCACTGAAGGCATTGGTGAGGATAGAGCTGTATCACGAACTGGCAGAGTTAGAATTGATGGGTCAATGAATTCAAGCCCAAGTGGCTGTATGATCAACGAAGTTGGTCTTATAAGCTGAAGGTCCTCAGTCTGGTCCCTGGTGGGGTCATGAGTGAGCACCACCAAAGACGAAATATCTTTCCAGTGCTCCCTGGCTTTCAATAGTCACGAAGAAAACTAACAACTGGAAATCTCTTCTGTCTTAGTAGGATTACTGATTTTATTGGCTGTGTTGTACTTAATTTAGCTCAGTATAACTGGGTGATATGGCTGAGACTCCGTGAATCCTGCTGATCAACACAGCTCACAAATTTCATCTTGTAGGTGGAATTTTTTTCGCCTTAGGGAAACCTTGTCTTTTGAATGGATTAAGGGACACTAAGCGCTGCAATTCAGCTACAGTCCTCCTCTATTATTGACAACACAATTTTTCATCTAATATTTGGCAATAAACTACAAATTGCTAGTTCATATATTATTTTATTTCGTACTATTATCCATTTCTGAAAATAATATTAATACTTATGACATTTAATACTCTAGAGAAAGATCAGATCAACTGCAATAGAAAAATATCAATTATCTCAAGATAAATAAAATTCAAGTAGTTTTTGATAAAGTCAACAATAACATCTGTTGAACAGCTCATTTAATATTCTTTTCTCTTTTTCAAATTTTTAAGGTGAAAATACTGAAAACAATCAGCAGGTGATGGTGAAAGAAAAAGAAAATAGAAAAAAATGAATAAAATGAGATAAAGTAAAAGTCAAAAAAGTGCAATTGATCGATCGTTTGGTGCCTGAAACTTCCACCAAGGCACGGAAAACCGATATTGTCTATAAGTGCAATCATGATCCAATAGAGCTAAATATGTTCGACCATCAACTACATATGGTCTGACATCAGTACAATTCTCCATTAGACGATTAGTATAGATTAAATTGGCAAATGCCTATTAAACACGAAATAAAAAAGAATATAAAGAGAGTTTAGTCATTATAAAGCCCGGTAGTTTACATAATCTCACTATGAGACAAAAAATCATCAACACACTAAGGTCCACACTAAGTAAAATACTAAGTCGCATCATCCTGGAGAGAATAAAAGATTCAGTGGATGTGGAACTCCACCAGACCTACCGGTACAGCCTGGCTGGATTCAGAAAAGGCAAGTTATGTGCTGATCAAATTGCAACTCCACACATCATCATCACAGAGCAAAACATAGAATGACAGTCAAACCTCTCCCTACCTCAACTTCATCGACTTTGAAAAGGCCTTCACTAGACAGTGTTGACCGAGAAGTAATTTAGAAACTACTTCAACACTATGGCGTGCAGTGCCCAAGTCTTTATCAACTTCATTCAACAGCTGGCTATATGACACTGCCACGTGTCAGGTGATCTACAACAGAAAACCCTGCGAGACGTTTGAAGTGCATACATGAGTAAGACAAATCTGGCTGCTTATTATCATCGATGATACCCTTATTATGGTGGACTGAATTGTGCGGCAAACTGTGAGTTAGGAGTGAGGAGACAGGAATACGCTGGACCGCCGATAAGAAGATTCTAGAAGATATCGATTTCGCAGATGACATATGACTAACGCTACACAAACTCGAAGACTTGCAGGCAAAAAGAAACAAACTGGTAGGAGAGGCCAGCAGCGGGGGCAGGACTACAGGTGGGCATGGAGAAGACGGAGGTAACCAATCGGCTAACAGCCAAAACAACCAACACCAATCACCACCAAGGGGAGAGATTGGACATATGTTACTTCCTGCCTTCACTTATTTAGGAAGCATTGTTCCAAACACAGGCGGAACGGACGGAGATGTCAAAGCCAGTCAGAATCACAAAGGCAAGATACGCCTTCATCAATCTAAAACCAGTATGAAATCTTCCGCCCAAACTCAGCATAAAGAACAAGATTCGAATTTTCAGCACCAAAGTAAAGTCGGTCCTTCAGTATGGGTCAGAAACTTTCACTGCGTGCCACAAAGAGGATTTCCAAAATAAGTTAAAGGCTTTTATCAACAGATGCCTTCGTTGGATCCATACTGAAGATCGAATGGCCAGCCAGGAAGAATTAGTAACAAGAAATTCTAGCTGGGAACAAACCAACATGAGCCGATCGCTCAACAAATATGTAGGAGAAAATGGGTATGCATTGATCAGGCATATGTTGAAGAGGCTGCCAAATGACATCCTGCGCAGTGCAGGCCATCGCTTGAGTGGAATCCAAATGGGAAGCAACGAGTAGGCCATCAGTGCGAGGGTGACATAGAGGAAATGAGAGATTATGGGCAATCGTGGACCCGGCTGAAGAGGACGGCAGAAAATAGAAGAAAATGGAGGTGTGTTGTTGAAGCCTTATGTTCCGCCCAGAACTCAAGGGAATAATATTAAATAACAAATAAAATGGATACTGGTGGAATCTACGGAGTTGGTCGTGTATCTACGCGACTCACTCACGTCACTCTATAAAGACCCGTTTTATCTGAATGAAACTTGAATTTCACGTACCACTTTCTACCCAAATGTCTGATAGGTTTGCCGTGAGGGAAGTTATTACTTTCTATAACAAATGGCAAATGCTTTTTTACGTGCGTCTACGGCAAGATATATGCAGTACATGGAAGACATTCAAACTCATTCATCAGTCATATTGGAAACTCAGAGCAGAAGAACATTTAGTGGTTGACAAAATTCATCGAGTGTTTCTGTCTATTTTGAATAATTGGTAAAACAAACACACCTCACTTCATTCATATGAGTTTAGGTAGAAGAATCTAATTGTAATAATTGTGTGGAGACAATAATGGAATTTTTGTATGATACGTCTGATGTTCCAATTTGCTGTCTAGTTCTTTGTACTGAATCCAAAATAATCAACCTACCGGATCACTACTTTTCACGCCTATTTAAATTTAAGCACCACGTTGGGTTTTCCTTTCAGGAAAATATTAAAACACTAATAAAGCTTTTATTAAGTTGAATATCACCATGTTTCTTCGTTTAGATCACGGAATCCTAATAAACTGAAATCGCATTCGTGAAATAAACAAAATCAGTATTGGGCGCTGTGATGTATCTCTCCGTACACATTGCATGGAGCAGTCGGTAGGTCTATATGCTAAGGATTACGGCTAATCAACGCTTCTACTTCAACAACTTGAATATGTATATATATATCAGTTAAGTAAAAAAATTCATGTATTCCATACTACAGTTCAGTTTTATACAGTGTGATTCGATGGTTTAGTAGTAGAGTGCTAGACAACCACGTACGTGGTCTGGGTCCGATTCCTGGGTGGTGCATTCCTAAACCTCACCTAGTTCACTAGTCCATAGTAAACCCGGGACAGAGTGAAGATCTGGTGTGAGGCAAGCAACCCAACCCCCGAAACTAATACATCACTGCTAAAACTTCAAATAAACTATACGCAGTGTACTTCCTATTATCACAAGACCAATTCATGCATGTGATTTTTCAGAAATATTTGACAATGCTTACTTACTGATAAAATGACGGCCTTCATTGAGTCATTAAAAGTGTAAACATAAAAAAATAATGTGAGTCATTTGAAAAATCCATTATTTAAATTTTTAGGATACCTACGAAATTTGTAATGTAAATATTCTTATAACTACTTCCTAAACATATATCTAATAATAATAATAATATCAATATAACCTTAACTTGAATTTAGTTTTAGGCATAGGAAATAAATGCATAGCTCCTTTGTAAAATAATACATAAAAACAACTGTTTTAACCATAGCACGTCTGATTAAATATACTGTTGTTTGTGTGAGAGAAAAAATCACTTACAATGCACGCTGATTCTTCATGTTCATTGCCCCAAACATAAATACATTCCAATGTGACGTTAGTAATAAGTGATTCAGCCAATGCACAGAGTCCAGGTCCTTTTAGTTCACATGACTGTACTGCAAGGCTGGTTAAAAATTGAAAATGCGAAACCATAATGTCACTCGACTCTTTAGTAGGACAGTCTAATCTTTAAGGCTAAAAACTTGTCAAACAGTTTTATAATTATGTAAAATATGCACCTAATCCTATTATGAAATCTATTGGTCATAAAGCAATAAGAAATAAGATGATTAAAACCAAACTTATGTACTCAGAAACAGGTAGTGGAAAACTCTGAACTACTTTGATAATAACGTTTACAAAACGAAGTCGTACAATCTTTGTTACATTATTCATTCCTCTAGATCTTCTGTTCTGTTTAGAGAATTTCTGTTTTTCGTCTGCATGTCACCGACCTTATTCTTTTTGCTACTGTGTGAAATATTTTTAAGTCCCAGGTTCCAATAGCGAAGCATAGTAAGGATAAACATGAATTTCTTTACATGAAATGAATGTTAGATAGCCTACTCACCTCGGTTTTCAAGGTTGTTATTTTTGGCATATAGCAATCCATGTTATACAAATAACTTCAGTAAGTTTTATTTGCTTCCTCATACTACTTGTAAGTAGCAACAAATTAAAGACTAAAATGTGCTGCGCCCTTCATTTAAATGGTATTAGTTGAAAAGGAAATTTTAACCTCCGATTGTAATAAGAACAATGTCGAAATTTTATTATTATTAGATAAACGTGCATTGTAAGTTTGGATATTTCATTAATGACCCTAAAAATTAAACTCTTCAGTTCTGAAGCATAAATCACAAAAATAATACACTTGAATGTAACAATACTTACACTTTCAAATGTGTATTATAAAGCAATGCATTGGCCAAAGCTTTAGCACCTTTACACTGCAATCTGTTGAACGCTAAGTCCAATATAACCAGAGGGCAATTCAAGCTGATCACTTTCGATAAAGAAATTGCTCCATCACGTGCGACACGATTGCTAAAGGATAGAAAGTACTCAGTTTATTATTCGATGAGTAATTTACAAAAATGCATACGTACCTTTACATACATACTGCTTAATAACAAAGACTGGATGATTCAGGATAATAAATTAGCTTAAATGTACATTAAGACATCCTGAGAAGTAGTAATTATCATAAAGAAACTCGATAACGTAAACTGTCAAAAAACCAGAGAAATCTCCCACCTTTAAATAAAAAGTGCAGGATCTTGCTTATAAAGAAAGAATTGCAACATATTTTCTGTTTGTGAACCTTGGGAATTCTATCATATACAAGCAGTTTTGGTTATTTGTGAAAAGAATGGACACGTTTTTTGCATGAATCTGCCGGTTTATTATTCATGTCATGTCACCTCAAGAGCATTTTATTAAGGTAACAATAAAAAACATCGTTAAATGATCAATATTTTAATATCAGCAGATACCGTCACTAATAAGGTCATACATGACACATACATGAACATTTAAGAGTGAGTCGATGAATTACGGTCCTGAGTTATATCACTTATTGGAAGCCATCCATTATTGTTTCCTCCCATCAGGTAAGAGCTCTGATTATTCGCGAAAAATTTATTGTAAAAAAGGTTAGTTATGTATATATTCTTCACACCTGTAGATGACACTATAAAATTGTGAACATCAAGAAATGAGAACAGTTCACTGTAATAAATGAAGTACTCTAGTTGATTCCATGTCGAAAGTCAGTTAGCAAAGGCAATTGTAGTGCCAACTTTCAAGGTATAACAGTGTTGTTTCACTTAACAAATACTCAAGGCTAGATGGTTACATTAGTCACACACATTCAACTTTCACAGAATAATTTGTTTAAGTATATTTATTCGAGATTGAGTGTAGCAATTCTGTAGATATAAACCTAGGTTTTTTTTTGTTTTTTCTAATTGTGTGTGAAAGACATATGTGTGAGTTAAAATGATCCCAAACTATTTTTACTATCCCAGAAAGACATTTAATCCACACTATAATCGTTGTTTGCTTCCTATGTTAATTTGGTCTAATAAAATCTACATACATTCCAAGGAGTCAGATGCATAGGATAATTTAGCGAATCATTAACATGGTAATACTGACCATAAATTGATGTTGAAATACTAGAATAAACGAAAGAGATGACTTACGCGCTTATATCTAACAATTCCAAAGTATCATTGCGCTCCAGCGCTTCAGATAAACGTGCTGCTCCAAAATCACGCATATCGCATTTAGCTAAATGCAGTTCTCTCAAAGTTCTATTCACCTACAAGTAGGATGTAAGAAAAAAATAAATGAGTTGATGGAATACAGCGACTGTGTAACAAAGAAGTTTTAATGAACAACCATATCAATATAAAATTATACACAACCCAACCCTGTTATATTTTGCAAGTTAGAAATTCTCAGCTGGTGTTAGTCAAGAAAGTCAGTTCAAATTGCTATGAGCATTTCTAGACAAATAATGGATCTGAGAATATATGAAGATAAAAGAATAGTTTCTCTTGGTGTGACGTTAAGTTTTCCCTCAACCAACTGAAATTCAGCAGTAATGGATAGTGTACTCAAGAAAAATGGAAATTCTTTCTAACCTTGCAGAACTGACTAATTTGAGTCTTAACAGTTACCTCAACTTTAATGGCTAACAAAATAATGGGACATCTGTGAGGTTGCCAACATCGGGATCGGTTACTGGAGCGGTGACCAGAGTCACTTGTTATTTTAGTGAGGAGATTTCAGATCCAGACTATATATGTCAACGATAATTGTATGTTTCGCAAAGCCGGTACAATGGAAGACACTAAACTCATCAGGCAACACATTTGAAGGAATCTATTTTACGAAGAATGAAGAAGAAAATTGTTAAATCACCTTCCTAGAAGTGCTTATCAACAGAACTAGTGATGTGACTCACAGGCAGAAGTGTACACAAAAACTATCAAAAGTGATTCAATTTACAGCTACAAGAGAAATCATCTGATAAGTTGTGAATAAACTTTTGTGAAAGCAGTATCATCAAAAGCCAAGATCCACTGCGGTATATATATAAAGCGCTGAAATGTGAAGAACGAATGCTGTGCAAGATGTTCAGAGTAAATAATAATAATAAGTGGCAAATAGAGTGATAGTTTTTTCAACTCAAGGGAATCTGCTTAGCAGGCATCAACCAACTTGACTGGAATAAAGAATAAATGAGAGAAATAATCACAAAGCCTATTGTGCAAGATGAACAACCAATTGCTAAAGCAGAGTAAACGAGAGTGTTTTGCAAAAACAACAATGCGTTGACCAGTTAAGCAGCCAAATTACACAAAAAATTCACAGGCAACAAATAATGTAATAGAGACACGATGCAGCATCTTTAGTTTCACTGTATGCGAACAGCTAGAATCTGAACTTCAAGTTGGAGAATGTTATTATTCTATGAATGAAGACTCAAAGGCAACAGGAGGAATTTTAGGAAGAAGTTTGACCATCAAACAAACTCTTCTAATCAGACACGCAGACACACTTTGACTAATATGCCTTTGGAGTATGAAGCTTTGAGTGCATTTAAAAAATTAAAGCAAGATTTCTCTGAAAGTCAAAACAGACAGACCAGTAAAATTGAATCAGCATAGACATATATTCATTTGTAATTGAACAACTTAATTATATTTACTATTTGATCATATATGTTGATGTTTAATAAAATCCTAGTTGTTCTTCTGAAGAAACTATGGCTTACACAACAGAAAAATATTGTTTTAATTTCCTCAATACACTGGGATTCATTTGAATAATTTTCTATTGATAAATCCACTTTGGAAATTTCTCAATACTGGCTTATAACGCGTGCAAACTATAAAAAGTTTAAGAATTTAGCATTTGTTAATAAAAATATGATATTTAATTTAAATTACATGTACACTTACAAAAGGTAATATAGTTATACTTACACACAGCATATCAGCTAAGTGAACAGTTGGTTCTTCTTGCAGTGTCCACAGTATCTGCCGATTCAGATTGATCCCAATTATGGACTTGTTTCTTCTTAAAACAGTGGCAAATGCAATACAACTGGTTATATCCTATAAAAATATGAGTAGAACAATCGTAGATCAAACATTTAATACATTTAAAAGATATAAGCTACTCTCAAGTTCCTATTTTGCCGTTGTTAGTTTTACTGAACTAAAATGGTTGTTTTATTTGAATAAAAGTGCGAAAAAGAAGTGAATGGCACTAGCTATTGCTAAACAGATGAGACAATAAGAGTTTCAATCCAGTTTTGTCCAGTTGTTTACAATAGAAGTGACACCGAACTAGTGATAAATCTAAATTACTATATTTTATCTATTTCATCATTCTTCAGGATACGGAATTTTGGTGGATCACCTACATAACGCTGTCTAATTCAGTTGCTCCGTTGCTTTACTATTTGTTATACAAAAATGACCGCTGTAAACTGATCATTGTTAGCCTCTTCACTAATCATTCAAAATTGACAGTTTGACCTATTCTATTGCAGCTATGAAGCTTAAAACGTGATAGCTATATTTCTAGTCATTGAATTGTTGTTAAGTGCATGGGCTATTCTTTTAACTAAGTAATCGTTTTAAAGCATCTTGTTCATTCAACTAACCTGATCACATTCTCCAAGATCAATGAATTCAAGTGTATTGTTCACTTGCAAAGCTTGAGCAAAAAATAAACCACCCTTAGAGCCAATAGGATTTCAGTCATTTTCAAAATGACCAAGTTTTTGTTTTTCTGTAGTTATCAAAAACAATAAAGAGTAATCAAAAGAATGGGGTGAAGCCATTCGAATATTACATCTGAAGGATTAAAAGTACGTATATATGACTAACTAACTCTTGCACCAATTGGCTACAAAAGCTATCTTCATGAGATGAAACCACACATTAGACTGTAATTTTCAACTTAGGAAGGAAAACTACTAAGTTAATAGAATTTTAGCAACATTTTGACTGTATAACGCTTGCAAGAGAACAATCAATAGACTAGATATGGAAAAATTGTTACCGTGATTCAAACAATCTCTCTGGTATGCACAAATAGATCATTCATTCCGATTAGCTTAAAAGTTGTTTTATCAAAAATTCTGTTACTGAAGGCATACAGAAAGGTTAGTGTAGAATTCGGAAGAGAAGCGTATCGCTCACAGCAATTACACTTCATGATAATGCAAAGTTAGAGCAAGGGTAAATGAGTAATTATTTAAATCAACAGAAAATTAAAACATCAGAAGTAAGAAAGATTAGGTAAAACGTAGTTCAAATGTTAGAAATTTCTAAGATGACGAAGAGTGATCAATGCTTAACTATGTAACACGAAGCATTCAACCATTAGTTCATAATCAGTTCAAGTGCCCTTCACTTTTCTTAAACCAACAACTGTGAACTTTGTGACATGTTTCGATATGAAATTTGCCTTGTATGTGTAATTTACATTGGTTCGAAATGAAAAACAAGCCGTTTAAATCAAAGAAGCCTATTTAAATAAGTGACTGGTCATCCTAAAATTTTTAGAATAACTAAAATACTAACCTTTTACTACAGTGTACTAGATAGTGAGTTTGTTATCAAAATTCCTAGCTACATGTATCGATCTCAGTCTACTTGTGGTAGCAAGTACATTGGTCGCTTAGAAAGGAGACTGTATACCTGTATGATTCAAAATTTTCCCAAGTGGTTAAGGAAACAGAAATCCACAGTATCATAACGTTTTGTGACAAAGAATCATCTAGACTGCAAATGTTATATTTGTGCTGTCAAGTCATTCAGCGTCGTCAGTGGACAAACAAACAGACAGATGCTTCAAGTGCAGAGGCTCGTGAAATTAATTTCTGCAAACCATGTCTCTGTTTACAGAAGGAAATAGTGAACGTTTTGGATTTACCATGGTCACATCTTTTACTGCGTTAGAAGGTCTTATTTTGTTTTCTTTTATTCTATCGAATATTATTCTTGTCTAAACTAAAACTCGTTACGCTTTTACTGTGAGTATTGTAGTGATAATTATTATTATCAACTCCTAATACTTTCAATTTTTTCTCAGATAACTAATTGTTTATTGTAGTGAGTTAACTAACCGGTAATCCGTTATAATCTTGATTTTGACCTTACATAACCATTCCACCCACTATACACTTAAACTTGACCAGTAACCATTTTTGCCTTTCATTTCACTATGACTGATTCACATATCTTTGTATTTCTCACAGTATATATATATATATATATATATAATTTTATGTAAAGTATGAAACTGAGAAGTTCTATCGAAATGTGATGAATAGTTAATACATGCTTTATGACCACTCGTTGCTTGTTTAAAACGAGTAAACAATTCCATCAGCAACCAAACAAAGAATAAATTAATTGCATCTAGTAGAAGAAAACGGTCCATACTCATGAACAGGTTACAGTGAAAGAAACACGACGACACAGGATTTACTGTCTAAGAACATCAACTCAGAATCAGCTTTATGTGGAAACTGATCAACTTAGTCTTATTATTTTTGTAAACTGGTTATGAAGTTTAATGCCTAGCATCATACTGCAAATGGTTGTTTCACGACTTCATCATGAACTGACATCAGTTAGAGAACCATTGGAAAACCTTCAGGGAGTACTGGGTAACTGTTCCATCCTAGTTTGGAACTCATCACAGTACGCACCCACCTCTAGGTTTCGAACCCAAGACCTTCAAGCTACAAGGCGATCTCGTAGACCATTAAGCCACTGAGCACCCGATCCAATGGCCCATGGATTCCGACTCCTGCTAATTCACGATTTATCGCGAACACTAGCCAATATTACCGGCGAGTGTTCGTCCTCAAACCCGACTTGCTGTATCCCAGTGATCATAACTTCTCACTAGAACTCAGATAACCATCTACCTTAATACAGTTAGTCCCTAGTGAATATCAGATTGATTTTCAGGTGTTGATTTGCAGTGATCTGGCTGGTTTCAGGATTTCATCATGCGCATACTGCTAAAGAGTCTCAAACTAGGAAGAAACAGCTGTCAGCTCATGATGAAATTCTGAAGCCAATCAAATATCTGCAAACCAACACTTGAATAGCAAATGATTGTCTTTTGTGCTAAATACGTTTATTACAACAGCTCGCTTAGACTGCTGTAAAAAGAATAGCAATGATGTTAAAAAACAGTAACTCCTTTATACATATATATATATATATATATATATATATATATATATATATATATATAGTATTTTAATGTATAAAAGAATTAGAAATATGAAGTAAGAAATTCCTCGTGGTATGCAATAATTCAAATCCTGATAAATTCCAGCATTCATCATCTCACCTTTAGAGAGTGGGCCAAAAATTCTGCACCTTTTTGAGTTATATCGTTGCCCATGAGATTTAACTCTTCCAAAAGGTTATCAGTCTTTTAATGTAAAGATAAACATGTAATACAGTTTTATTGGAACTTAGATATTAATTAATTTTTTATTAAAATGTGTGGTATGCTGTGTTTTACTGATTGATTTCATTGTAACTTTATGCTATATTGAGGGCGTTCACTTTTAACAAACTCAATGCTTTATAAGAAACAATTAGCTGAATATCACTTGGGTGAAATGTACTTTGAAGTGGCATTTTGTTGAAATCATCAATTCACAATACGTGAGGAAATAACTTCGACTCTATTCAAATTTAATACAAATAAGTTTCCTTTCTCAGTCACATACTATTTCCAGTTTGAACGCCGTAATTCCTAAAATGAACTTCGCACGAAATCGAGGATATGCTGCTGATGAACATGAAACCACAAAGAAGTATTTGTCCATTGCTTCTCCATTTTTAGCAGTTCTGTAGTTAGTGTCGTTCTGAAAAAGTACAGTGTGGATTTAACACTAGACTTGAATATATACTGTCTTTTCATATATTTATAGAAAGTCTATAACTAAGCGCTAGCTTATCTTCGTAAAATAAAAAAAAACTGTGGTATTTATGCTATCATAGTGTTTATCGTTGAAAAGAAACTTAAGTGACGTTTCGTTCTGAGGCCACAGAAATTGTATTACCAGATAGTTTGTCAGAGGGGCAGCCTGCAAAGATAGATAGAAAAACATATCTGAATTCCAAGCTCTTTATTTTTACATTGTGGAAAATCCACAGTTAGTAGTAAAACCTTGTAGGCAATAGGAGAACAGCGCCGACATAGGTCAAAGAATTTGTTTTTAGGATTGCTCTTTAACTCATCTACAAAGCTGGCTAACCATCTCATTACAGAACTAACTTTTAATAACCATACTAACACCATAATTACTACAAAGTATAGATAGAGTCCAAAGTAGGTAAAAATCGTGGTTTTAAGGAAGTTAAATGATGAACCTAACCGTTTATTGAAAATTTCGTAACTATCTAAATTTTAGAAAGTTATGAAGACATCTGTATAGATCCTTTATGCATTTCTTTTCCTTGATGCCTTATCAGTATAACAGATTTCATAATGTTACATGTATTGGTCCACGAGTAGACAGAGTATTGATTTAATGTGCCTTGCGACGTAGACTTGAGAAATTAAATTTCTATGAATTGCGATAAGTGGCCTATTTTGGTGTCTTAAGATTACCCAAGAAATATGAGCCTTCAGGTATTCACAGAAGGCTTACGACAACAGCTACAGCCTCAACTTAACCACAACCTACATGATTTCATCTTAAAGCTTGAATTGAGCAAATGAAAATAAATACTTGAAGTCATTAATTTAATTATATGATCAAAGATACGCTGACTGTTTGCCACCACCAGTTGAAATTGGCTCGATATACAAAGAAAATTATAGAAACAAATTAGCCAATAACGAAAGCAGGCCGAATCTTTTATGACAAACAACAATTTTCCTAAATACGCTTGATAGTTGAATGCTGTTTATTATACCATATTCAAGTCCATTGGAATTTAAAATTAACATTCAGCAGGACTAATGACTTATTCGTCTTATTGCCAGTCACAAGGACACTATTACTATGTAATAATAAGCAACTTTCAAAAAGGAATATGTAGACGAATATATGCACAGAAGAAAATAATCACATTATTAACAACTTAAAGTTAGATCCACAACAGCAACTCTCAGTTATTTTCCAACTCACGATGCAGTTGTTTCTGCCCACATAACCGTGGCAAAAATTTCTAGATAGCCACTATTCGCCTTCACACTTTCCGGTGTTATCATAGTACATTGCCAATGCGAATGGAATGTTTATCTATGGCTTTATGAATCAATATTTAAGACACCAGTGGTACAATATTGGCTTATAGAACCTATTTGTAATTCTTAAGGCTACACCAACCTTTATTCTTTTTGTTTCTTTCCAACTCTCTGGTATTTTCCTAAGTCATTCTACTGCTCTATTTTTCTTCCTTTTCTCTTTTGTTATTTAATAATAGAGGTGTGTAAGCAAGAGTTTAAACGTACGTCGAAAAAGAAGTTCAAAGTTGTGGTGTACGGTAGTATTTTATAAACTCATTTAGTAATCGTAAGTTCTGGTCAACAAACTTTAATTAAACATTCTGTATTGGTTGCATATCAGAGACCACTTTGTTAACATATCTAGTAAGCGTTACTTTGAAGCCCAGAGTGAACACACTTGTGTCCCAGAGCCCTTGGCTATCGGTGTGTTAGTAGTAATTCAGATTTCTCATTAAAACTTGGTCTACACTAATATGCATTGTGGAATCACAATACGATAAGTTTTGCGGCTTTCATTTTATTTTATTCTGCTTTGACATGAGCATGAATACATCTTATTTTATAGCAAGTTAGTAACTTACATTTAAAAATTTAGATAGTTTTTCTGCTCCTTGGTCCGTTATGCGATTATAGCGCAAATCTAACATTGTAATGCACGGTTTAAGTGATAGAGCCATACATAGCGGTGGTAGGTCACTATCAGTTAGTCGAACTGCGTCTAAATGATGATTGTTGCCACAGAGTTTTAAGTAGATTGCGAAAAGCTTATCATCACTGTAACAAAATGTGACATAATGGTATTAAGTAAATAGATTTGGCTGGATGTGAAGTTTAATTTGAGGTTTTTTAGAAACAAAGCAATCGAATGATAAGTTGTAGTTTTACTCCTAGCGATAAAACAAAGGAAAATTAGTGTCACATGATATGAGTACATTACGTCAGCATTGTGAAGCATAACAATGCTAACACAAAGAATCAATAGAATTCAGTGATATGGTAAAGAAGAAAAACATACAGTGATGAGTTAACATTATAGCAATGTTTTGTGCTAGTGAAAGCCAAAAAACAGACCACCCTCTGAACGCATAAGTTTTGGCTGCGCTATTTGAAAAGACATATCCTGGTCTAAAACTAACAAGTTTTAGTCCATGGGTCTGTCAAAAAACAGTTGCAAGGGAGAAGACACATACAAATTTGATTCTCCGGCTTTCTGGAATATGTGTTGACACGTTATCAAGAACTACTATGTATGTTTTTTGGTGTTTTTAAATGTAAAATATGATATGGTACACACTGTTGCACTTAACACTAAAACTGTACCCGCTAAATTTTGGTTGTTTCAACAAACGATTCGTCTGACATAGTTTAAGAAGCTTAGACCGAATGAATTCTGTAACTGGGGTCAGTTTATTGGAAAAACTACACCGGATAAAATGAACAAATTTCATACTGGGTCTTCGAAGAGATATATCTAAAACTTCATTATTTCGTTTTGTAACTTACAGTCCAGTGTCATATAGGCATTTTTCCATTATGATAAGACTCTGTTTTGACTGAGTAAGACATTTTCATTCGGTTGAAAAGTATTCATACTAGTACAATTTTTCAGCTCAATGTGTCGAAATAACATATTTGAAAAGAATCAGTCTTAATACTTTTTCATTTGCAGAGAAAAAGTGTCATATTGAAATGTGATGTCTAAGCTTTCTTTCAAAACGACTTTGGTAGACTTACTGAACAAAGCAAAAGTGACTTGTCGAAATTTTGTTTCCATGTTTTCAACGGTTTAGCTGTAAATAAATAATCTAATAAAGTATGTTAAAACAGACTGATAAGTGTGACAAGTCTTGATATTAGAATAGCTGATTTTGATTAGTTTTACTAAATTTTACTCAGTAAAAATGAGCCTGTTTAACGCCATAAAGTGGTGCGCGACGTCTTTTTATTTGCAGGTGATAATATACATTTCTTCAAAGATGGTATAACAAAACTCAAATGTTTTGGTGGGGAGTGGAAGATGCATACAAATTGCCTTTTAGAAAAGTGTATAAATGTAACAGAATTTATTATTTTTATCAGGTGAAATTTAGTAGGTACTATTAAGCCCCAAGACTTAATCGTGGTTCATGAAAAATAAATTTTTCATTATTATACTATACAAACATTCTTGAAAAAGGAGTCAAGCATATTTAGTTTTTAAATTTCAATACTGATAAAAAGTAGACTTTTGGTCATCATATTCAATTATTTGTTATTTCTGAGGTCATGTCATAAATCGAAATCTGAAAAGAAAATCTAAACTACGTAGAATAAAGCTAAGTAGACATGAGAAATTACACTCAGATGCCCTGGACAGATGATTTAGTTATTTAAAATAATTTGAATTAATTTTCTCAGCTTTACCCACAGTGACGAATTGCGTAGATGTAACGATTTTCCCTCAAAACATTTAGTAGCATTACCGGTAAACAGATGCATCAACTCTCAGAACCAAATAGTACTTTGATACAAAAATTTCTTAAGCATATACTGTTTTCAGAATTTAAGATTGAAAAATATAGGATTTACAGGTCCATTTCACGCATATACGGTTTACCAAAAGTACATAAATCAGGAGCGTCAATCCGTTCCATACTTGACATGTCTCAGTTACTTTTTCACGCGACTGCAAATTGGATGGCATAGTTACTTCACCTGCTGCATTATCAGCTAGTGAACTACGGTGTCAAGAATACCTTTCAGTTTGTTTACAAGTGGTATGAAATTTATATTAGCGATGACCTTAGCTTATGGGTAATATTTTGTTGAGTACAGAATACCAGTAGAAAAGTAAAGGAAAGACGACTTACTTTTTATCGAGATCATATTCCATTCTTATTATCTTACTGATGAAAGCTGATGCAGGTGTTGGCTTATTCCCCACACAGTCTAGATAAGTTGATTCCAGCTCCTTTAAATTATCTAAATTCAGTGTTGTCAAGATATCACTGTTTCGTCTCATTTTTATTATTCTACACAGCTTTTACTTGTTGTAACTAGATGATGATTTTCTAACGAAATAAAAGATACAGACACTTTAAATGAACACAAAAGCATGTGATAATATAGTAAGCGAAATCCTATAGTCAGTATGAAAGTTTTTATAAATTCTTGTAAAGAATGAAGTCAGTAATCTGAGATAAGATATACATATTAAGATTATGAACGTATTAAAAGGCAGCTGTTCAGTGAAACACGTATTTAACAGTTTACAGAAGTACCAACCACAAGAATAACTATTTTTCTTCAACAGGGAACCATCTAACTTTTAATTAAAAGGAAAAAAACAAATTAAATACCTGTAATTTATTATTATCTTGGATGGAAAAAAGCTAGCTACATTTTAGTTTCAACGGTGTTTATACTCATTATGAATTATGATCATAATTAAGTACCATAATACAACTTTTGAGAACAAAACATTTGTTCTTTACTATCTTTCTATCAGAGTCAAATAAGAATAATAGTCAGCCACATATGCAGATATAATTTTTCGTAGAAAATGCGTTTTACGTATTCAGTTATTATTCGTTACAACTAGTTGTTACATGTAGAAATATGATCTTAAAAAACGTATTCGACAGATTTAAAGGTACTAATAGTTCAATATGGAGTGATTACATTTTATTTTGTCTTGACTGAGAAAATTCTTGGGAATCGTGCTTCCTCAGGACCTAGAGTTGCAAAACATGACTGCTGTAGGCAATACACAGCAACGAACTAGACATTTTCGATTATTCAAGTTAGCAGGTATTATTATTGAAAGAACTAACATTACCGTGTATTTGGCTGGATTACCATATTTCACGCCCACACAATGAAAGGTGATACAAAGAAAGAGAAAAGTCAAACTGATTGTATACTTTAATATACAAAGAAATGGGGCAGATAAATAAATGTTGCGTAAGAACAAAGATGAACATAGGGAGTGAATATTCCCGTTTTCTTGTGATCAAATTCAACTCATATAACTTAAAATTTTTAACTACAGAATCCTGAGGCCGTGTGAACTTCATCGAGACACCCAATACTTTCATATATGAATAAAGCTTATATAACGATGGTTTCATGTTGCATCCTTCTGTCCTTCTTTGGACATCCATTACTCTTTTCCAATCTAATTCTATTTTTGTTAACATGGACACTCAAGGAAAACAGTGTTTCCGCCTGTGTAACGAATGTTGCAACCACCTTAAGTCACTGAGGTTTAGAGTTTATTAGACTGATTTGTGTCACATAAGACTACGCCTAATCACTGCGTTGTCACACTGCTGAATGTCAGCTCTACTATGAAAACAGTGGTAGTTGAATGTTTGCGGTTTCTAAGATCGTCTACTTTAACAGCCATGTTTCCCAACTTCACAGAACAATCTACCCTAAATGAACACTCAGACTATTAAATATAACGTTCATTCTCCCACCGTCCTTCTCACCAATCATGTCTGGATTGTGTAGGACTGAACTGAAAAAGTAGTGACTAAATATAACATTAAAGAACACAATGTTTGAATTTTGAAGAGTACAAGCTACTTGGATAAGCGTAATAGACCCTCAGCGGTTTAATTTGAAGTCAGCCACAGTGTTATAGATAATGCTTTATGGTTTTCAAGATGGTGAACATTTATTCAGTTGCTATTTCTGTCTTCATACTAGTCTTGCTTTATCGAATAACATGATTTCAGTTTCATCTACTACTTTCTTCCTTATCTCAGTCATTTATATCGAGTTAAGCTGTTACACTTCCAGGTCACATAGAGTTTTCACTTTTGCGATCTTTCCTACGGCAAATTCTAACCTCATTTGTTATATTTCTTACGATAACCCGAATCATCAACACATGGATATACTTACACATATGAAACTCACTGTTACACATTCTTAAATCTAAGAATTTTAAACCGTGATTATTAATAAAATGTCTAGCAATATTGCACCAACTGCTAATGACCATTTACTCCCTTCTCATATACTCAGCCATATGTTCATCGCTGATAATTTGTCAATGGTTTTAACTTGTAAAAATTAACGACAATAGGGAATCACTGCTTTCTAATCAAAGACAAGAGTGCTGCTTACGCTGATCACCGCAATTACATTGTCAAGTAAAAAACACAGAGAACAAAGACGAAAAGTCCTCAAAACCAAGCTAGCCAAGATTAGAAAACAACAACCAGACAATACGCCCATAGACTGCGTAGTCAACCTATCAAAACAACCACTATCAAAAATGGAACAACAACTACTACAAAAAGGATTAAACTACAACACCGGAGATGCTTCAAAAACTGATTTCTTCGCTGCCCTTGAATCATTACTCAAATCATCAAACTTGAACGAGGAAACACAGGAAGAGATACGCCAAACAATTGTACCAATGGTCAAACAGAAAAGACAACACACACAACTCAACTCTCAAGAACTAAAGGCCCTCAAAAAGCTGAAAAATAGGAAGGACATCGTCATTTTACCAGCCGACAAAGGAAGAACAACAGTAGTCATGGACAGAGAAGAATACACCAAGAAAGCTGAAGAACTACTCAAAGATGAGGATGTATATCAACAACTCCCAACAAATCCCATACAAACATTGGACAACCGCATCCAAAGGACCTTAAACAAGCTCACCAAAACTGGACAGATACAAACAAGCAAAAAAAACCAATGGCGAATGAAATCCAATGGACCAGTCCTACCCCGATTCTACGGCAGACCCAAAATACACAAGCCAAATATCCCGTTACGACCAATTGTATCACTCCCAGGAACTCCAACATATAATTTATCCAAAGAATTATACAGAAAACTAAAACACCTAACGGAATCTTGCGATCACTCCATCAACTCTGCTATCCAATTCCTAGAGAAAATCAGAGGCATCCAAATAGATGAACAAGAAATAATGGTATCCTTCGACGTGACAGCATTATATACCTCAATCGGACAAAAACTAGCAAAAGAAACCATGGAGCAATTACTTAGCAACGACGAACAACTTCCACAACAATCAAAAATGCAACACACAAGCTGGATGGAATGCATAAATCTATGCCTAACAACATACTTCCAATTCAACGGCCAAATATATGAACAAGTCAAAGGAACACCCATGGGATCGCCAATATCAGGTTTGATTGCAGAAGCAGTGATGCAAAGACTCGAAAACATAATTCTACCAAAGATCAAACCCAAGATTTGGATACGCTACGTCGACGACACATTTGTAATAATCAAAAGAAACGAATTAGATAAAACTCACAACTTAATAAACAACGTCTTCAACGACATCAAATTCACAAGAGAAGAGGAATCCGAGAACAAAATACCATTTTTGGACGTCTTAGTCAGGCGAACAACTACAGGAGAATTAGAAACTCAAGTTTATAGGAAATCAACTCACACAGACCAAATACTGAATTACAACAGCAACAACCCATTAAAACACAAAAGGAATTGCATACAAACACTATTCAAGAGGGAAAGGTCTCACTGCAGCACTCCCACCTTAAGAAAATTTGAAAAAAGTTATCTCATGGACGTCTTCCAAAAGAATGGATATCCACGGAATTTCATCAAGAGGCATATACCCCCAAGCCAACCTACCAAACCAAAAGCCACCAAGGAAAGCACAAAGAAAATCGCCTTACCATATATAAAGGATATCTCAGAAATCACTACAAGACTCTTCAAACCTTTAGGAATTGACGTCGTACACAAACCAACAAAGTCGCTTCACTCAATTCTATGTCAACCAAAAGACTCAACAGCGAAAGAAGATAAAACCAACATCATCTACAAAATAAACTGTAACAACTGCGAAAAACACTACATTGACCAAAGTGGACGTCCCCTTCGTCTTCGTATCCACGAACATAAGTAGCCGTCAAAAGACATGATATCCACTCCCTCATTTCACTACACACAGACAACCACGGACATCAATTCGACTGGGACAACCAACGTTCAAATACTAGACAGAGGAAGCAACAAGAGTGCCAGAGAATTTTTAGAAGCTTGGCATTTCAGTGAATCATCAATCAATAGACACTGTGCGTCGGTGGCACAGTGGTTGGGATTTTCGCCGACCATGCACATGGACCGAGGTTCGAACCCTCGCCGACGCACACCTGATATCTATGGTCGGCCTGCAAAATTTGGGCTACCGATATCCATGCTGAAAATTCCATACTTGTACCAAAAATACAGTGTGGAATCAAGCTGTAAATCAAAAAAAAAAGTTCAAGTCAAAGAAACTATCAGTTCCAATACAAGTAACCTAGAAGGTGTGAAAACACAAAAACAACCAATCACGTCCGAGGTCACCAGGAGAGATGATTAATAAACTCGTGGGGAAATCTAAAAGCCCACATCAAATTGAAGTATGCGCCAAAGATGTCACCTAGTAGGGTGATGAAAGCTTCGCAAGTCAACTATCCAGCTCAGAGAACACAACCACATCAAAAGTGCTGCTTACTGCCTACTACTTACAGCAACAGCTGTGTTGTAAAAGATGGACAAATTTGCGGTATAAAATAGAATGTTAGTGATATAAGTCAACCAAACATATGAGTAAGAGCTTGAGAATAAAATTTATCGTTTCTTCTTCTTGCATGTTTCATCCCATGTTACGAACACCAAAACTCCGATAACACTAATGTCCACAAATCACATGCAAGGACGTTTAAAATTACTCACTGGAGGCCAAAATCCTTTTGAAATTCAGTTGACCAATGTGCCTTCTCTCAAAGATTAAGATTTGAATTTTCGAGCGAGTACTTCCATACAGTTAATAGACTTGGCGCGTGTCGACCAAGCCTTTCCAACAGCCTGCTTCAAAGTTGCATCAAAAGATGCCTTCGTTTGATACCGAAGATCATATGGCTGGACAGAAGGGGTAAGTGACAAGGGACTGTTGCAGCGAACCAGTTTAGAGCCTATTACCCAACAGATTCGCAGAAGGAAATG